AGAGAGAGATGGAATATGTGCTATTGTGGGGAAAGTCCATGTGTGAGGCCTTGCAAGGCATGCTTGAGGTGTAGGTTGAGCTCCCACTTGGATCCTTTTCAAGGTGAGTATGGTTTGGGATATGGTGGTGATAGATCTCACATATGCCTTGCAAGTTGGAAGAGGCAATAACTGTCTAAGGTGCCAAACATAACTCTGATTAATAGTATTTTGGCCATCCTCCCACCTATTCATGTATTTGTTTACTACCTCAATTTCTGTGGCGAAGTAGTTGGAGAAGTGGCAACATGATTTCCATAGGGAGTGGATGGAAAGAGTTAAATACCACTTGGTTGATTGCAGCACAATTTATTTTCTGGTTAGGGAATGGGCTTGGCCATTCGTAATGCTTATTGGCTTAAATTTAATCAAGCTTGGTTCATGATGTGGTTGTGGAGGTTTACGTGCGACTGGGACAAATATTGGCAGAGAGCGGTGAGTGTAAAATGAGGTGCATGGATGAGGTCTTGGACCAGATTCTATATCTTGTCGTTAGACTTCTTCAAGGGATATTCACCTTGGTGATCCGTTGTCCCCTCTTCTTTTTTATCTTAATTATGGAGGTGTTTAGTAGGATGTAGGAGGGAGGTATAATGGGGGTTCCTTGTAGGTTTAGAATTGGGGTAGCTTAAATGGATCTACGATGGCAACAAAGTTGTTAAAATCAGGATCCCTAGGTAGGATCGGTGAGAGGGTCTCATGGATCGGATACTTTCTATAAAAAATAAGATAAAAATGCAAATTAGAATGATACATATTAAAAATATAGTGAAAAATCACAAAATCATACGATCCTACTTATGATCCTGCGCAATCCCATACGATCTTACAAGATCCTGAAGCTTGTAGAGATTAACCAGCTTAGAGTTTGTAGGATCATCCCTATTTATATTAATGAAGATTTGGACAAATTACAAGAGAGCCATGAGGCATAGAATAATTCACACACTCAGAAAGTAATATGATAATATAATATATGCTAGCACTCCCCTCAAGCTGATGCGAAAATATCTCTCATGCCCCAGCTTGCCTAATATGTCATGAAATGGCTTATTCCCAACTCCCTTGGTGAGAATGGCAATGGATGTCAGCAAGTTGTTCACCAGACTGGAGTACAAATGGTACCACTAGTGAGTTTCTCCTTAATGAAGTGGCGATCAATCTTAACATGTTTTGTTCTGTCATGTTGAACTGGATTGTGAGCGATGTTGATAGTGGCCTTATTATCACAGTATAACCGCATGGAGTCCGTCTGATCAATACCTAGATCACTCAACAATAACTTTATCCATAAAAGCTCACACACCCCTTGTGCCATACCTCTAAACTTAGCTTCTGCACTTGATCTGGCAACCACATTCTGTTTCTTACTCCTCCAAGTAACTAGGTTGCCTCCAACAAAGGTGCAATACCTTGAAGTCGATCTCCTATCAGTTATTGATCCAACCCAGTCAGTATCTGTATAGGCTTCCACACGAAGATGATTATACTTTGAAAAATAAAAACCCTTACCAGGAATAGACTTCAAGTACCTCAAGATTCTCATGACAACCTCGAAATGAATCTGATGAGGAGCATGCATAAACTGACTAACCACACTGACAGCAACAGCAATATCAGGACGAGAGTGAGATAGGTAAATGAGCTTACACACTAATCGCTAATAGCTCCCCCTATCAACAGCTTCTCCTCCTTCATCATCCCCCAATTTCTGATTGGGTTCTAGTGGAGTGGCACATGCCTTGCAGCCAAGCATCCCAGTTTTCTTCAACAGGTCAAGCACATATTTTCTCTGTGAGATAAATATCCCATCCTTAGAGCGAGCAACTTCAATTCCCAGAAAATACTTCAAGCTTCCCAAGTCTTTGATTTCAAACTCATTAGCTAAATATTTCTTCAACAGAGGTATTTCTCCACTATCATTGCCCGTAAGAACTATGTCATCTACATAAACAATAAGTGTTGTAGTCTTATCACGTGAGGAATGTTTCACAAACAAGGTGTGATCTGCCTGACTCTGTTTGAAGTCATATTTAAACATAGCCTGAGTGAATCTCTCAAACCAAGTCCTTGGAGACTGTTTGAGACCATAAAATGACTTCCGAAGCTTGCATACTTTGCCTTCTGTCTGATGATCCTCAAAACTAGGAGGAATGTCCATATATACCTCTTCTTCAAGGTCACCATGAAGAAAGGCATTCTTGACATCAAACTGATAAAGCGACCAATCTAGATCAGCTGTTAGAGAGAGAAGCATTCTGACTGAATTCATCTTAGCCATGGGTGCGAATGTCTCCTGGTCTCCTGATAATCAATGCCATATGTCTGAGTAAACCCTTTTGCCACAAGTCTTGCCTTGTAACGCTCAATAGACCCATCTGCTTTGTGTTTCACAGTATATACCCATTTATATCCCACAGGTCGTTTGCCCGTAGGTAACTCAGTAAATTCCCAAGTGTCATTCTTCCTAAGTGCTTTCATTTCCTCAATCATGGCTAGTTTCCACTCAGAGATAGCAAGAGCATCCTGAAAATGGTTAGGAATACTAAAAGAGGAAATATTG